TGCTGTGACTCTTCTGCTGTGACTCTGCTGCTGTGACTCTTCTGCTGTGACTCTGCTGCTGTGACTCTTCTGCTGTGACTCTGCTGCTGTGACTCTTCTGCTGTGACTCTGCTGCTGTGACTCTTCTGCTGTGACTCTGCTGCTGTGACTCTTCTGCTGTGACTCTGCTGCTGTGACTCTTCTGCTGTGACTCTGCTGCTGTGACTCTTCTGCTGTGACTCTGCTGCTGTGACTCTTCTGCTGTGACTCTGCTGCTGTGACTCTTCTGCTGTGACTCTGCTGCTGTGACTCTTCTGCTGTGACTCTGCTGCTGTGACTCTTCTGCTGTGACTCTGCTGCTGTGACTCTTCTGCTGTGACTCTGCTGCTGTGACTCTTCTGCTGTGACTCTGCTGCTGTGACTCTTCTGCTGTGACTCTGCTGCTGTGACTCTTCTGCTGTGACTCTGCTGCTGTGACTCTTCTGCTGTGACTCTGCTGCTGTGACTCTTCTGCTGTGACTCTGCTGCTGTGACTCTTCTGCTGTGACTCTGCTGCTGTGACTCTTCTGCTGTGACTCTGCTGCTGTGACTCTTCTGCTGTGACTCTGCTGCTGTGACTCTTCTGCTGTGACTCTGCTGCTGTGACTCTTCTGCTGTGACTCTGCTGCTGTGACTCTTCTGCTGTGACTCTGCTGCTGTGACTCTTCTGCTGTGACTCTGCTGCTGTGACTCTTCTGCTGTGACTCTGCTGCTGTGACTCTTCTGCTGTGACTCTGCTGCTGTGACTCTTCTGCTGTGACTCTGCTGCTGTGACTCTTCTGCTGTGACTCTGCTGCTGTGACTCTTCTGCTGTGACTCTGCTGCTGTGACTCTTCTGCTGTGACTCTGCTGCTGTGACTCTTCTGCTGTGACTCTGCTGCTGTGACTCTTCTGCTGTGACTCTGCTGCTGTGACTCTTCTGCTGTGACTCTGCTGCTGTGACTCTTCTGCTGTGACTCTGCTGCTGTGACTCTTCTGCTGTGACTCTGCTGCTGTGACTCTTCTGCTGTGACTCTGCTGCTGTGACTCTTCTGCTGTGACTCTGCTGCTGTGACTCTTCTGCTGTGACTCTGCTGCTGTGACTCTTCTGCTGTGACTCTGCTGCTGTGACTCTTCTGCTGTGACTCTGCTGCTGTGACTCTTCTGCTGTGACTCTGCTGCTGTGACTCTTCTGCTGTGACTCTGCTGCTGTGACTCTTCTGCTGTGACTCTGCTGCTGTGACTCTTCTGCTGTGACTCTGCTGCTGTGACTCTTCTGCTGTGACTCTGCTGCTGTGACTCTTCTGCTGTGACTCTGCTGCTGTGACTCTTCTGCTGTGACTCTGCTGCTGTGACTCTTCTGCTGTGACTCTGCTGCTGTGACTCTTCTGCTGTGACTCTGCTGCTGTGACTCTTCTGCTGTGACTCTGCTGCTGTGACTCTTCTGCTGTGACTCTGCTGCTGTGACTCTTCTGCTGTGACTCTGCTGCTGTGACTCTTCTGCTGTGACTCTGCTGCTGTGACTCTTCTGCTGTGACTCTGCTGCTGTGACTCTTCTGCTGTGACTCTGCTGCTGTGACTCTTCTGCTGTGACTCTGCTGCTGTGACTCTTCTGCTGTGACTCTGCTGCTGTGACTCTTCTGCTGTGACTCTGCTGCTGTGACTCTTCTGCTGTGACTCTGCTGCTGTGACTCTTCTGCTGTGACTCTGCTGCTGTGACTCTTCTGCTGTGACTCTGCTGCTGTGACTCTTCTGCTGTGACTCTGCTGCTGTGACTCTTCTGCTGTGACTCTGCTGCTGTGACTCTTCTGCTGTGACTCTGCTGCTGTGACTCTTCTGCTGTGACTCTGCTGCTGTGACTCTTCTGCTGTGACTCTGCTGCTGTGACTCTTCTGCTGTGACTCTGCTGCTGTGACTCTTCTGCTGTGACTCTGCTGCTGTGACTCTTCTGCTGTGACTCTGCTGCTGTGACTCTTCTGCTGTGACTCTGCTGCTGTGACTCTTCTGCTGTGACTCTGCTGCTGTGACTCTTCTGCTGTGACTCTGCTGCTGTGACTCTTCTGCTGTGACTCTGCTGCTGTGACTCTTCTGCTGTGACTCTGCTGCTGTGACTCTTCTGCTGTGACTCTGCTGCTGTGACTCTTCTGCTGTGACTCTGCTGCTGTGACTCTTCTGCTGTGACTCTGCTGCTGTGACTCTTCTGCTGTGACTCTGCTGCTGTGACTCTTCTGCTGTGACTCTGCTGCTGTGACTCTTCTGCTGTGACTCTGCTGCTGTGACTCTTCTGCTGTGACTCTGCTGCTGTGACTCTTCTGCTGTGACTCTGCTGCTGTGACTCTTCTGCTGTGACTCTGCTGCTGTGACTCTTCTGCTGTGACTCTGCTGCTGTGACTCTTCTGCTGTGACTCTGCTGCTGTGACTCTTCTGCTGTGACTCTGCTGCTGTGACTCTTCTGCTGTGACTCTGCTGCTGTGACTCTTCTGCTGTGACTCTGCTGCTGTGACTCTTCTGCTGTGACTCTGCTGCTGTGACTCTTCTGCTGTGACTCTGCTGCTGTGACTCTTCTGCTGTGACTCTGCTGCTGTGACTCTTCTGCTGTGACTCTGCTGCTGTGACTCTTCTGCTGTGACTCTGCTGCTGTGACTCTTCTGCTGTGACTCTGCTGCTGTGACTCTTCTGCTGTGACTCTGCTGCTGTGACTCTTCTGCTGTGACTCTGCTGCTGTGACTCTTCTGCTGTGACTCTGCTGCTGTGACTCTTCTGCTGTGACTCTGCTGCTGTGACTCTTCTGCTGTGACTCTGCTGCTGTGACTCTTCTGCTGTGACTCTGCTGCTGTGACTCTTCTGCTGTGACTCTGCTGCTGTGACTCTTCTGCTGTGACTCTGCTGCTGTGACTCTTCTGCTGTGACTCTGCTGCTGTGACTCTTCTGCTGTGACTCTGGCTTTGTCTGAGACCCTGAAATAGCATCTAACTTTGCATTTCCTCAGCGTTTCTGTCCTATTCTAACTGACAGCTGGTTCTGCCTGCGGTGTGCTGCTGGCCCCCATAAGGAGGGCAGGCTGGGAAGCTCGTTTTGTAGGGACAATCTCAAAGCAGACAAAAGCTGAAGACGGGAGGCAGTGACTAATTCCCAGCTTTATATAAATAGCAAGGGGAAGAGATGAAATGCAGGCAGGGCAGTGACCTGGAGCATGAGGCCATGGAGGTGGTAGAGCAGTGCTTGGGGGCAGATGAGCTGGGAGAGGACGGGGTGACACGTTCAGCTCTCATTTGAGGCTGGATGTGTCTGTGCCTCTGTCCTGTGTGTCCTCCCGGAGGGGATGGACAAAACCACGTGAGGATCTGGATCAGCTACGAACCGATATGCAAGTCCTGCATGTCTCATGTCCTCTGCCCGGGTCAATGCCTTGGGCAGCACCCAGAGCACTAGAGAGGGGTTTGCTGAAAGGAAAAAGGTTGTATTTTTGTGTGTATGTGTAAGAGGAAGGCAGAGGACCTGTGGATTGTGGGCTCTGGAGGCAGCATGGTAAGGGTCTGGTGGGCTTTGAAACCACAGGAACCAACTGGCAGGCTCTGATTGCCTCCAGGATGCTGAGTCCTGATTAGAGAAAGTCAGGACAGGGCTGTCATAGGCTGTCAGCATGAAGCACAGAGTGTAAATGGACACAGAGAAGGACAGAGGCTGGAAGGGTTGAGCTGTCTGTGTCCTCGTTGACATTTCTAGACACTGCCACAGCGCTTGCAACACCTGCAGCATTCCCTTACGCATTGGCTATAATGAAAAATACAGTTAACCCCTTTCTTGGAGGCTTCCTTCCATGGGACGTGGCATTGGAAGGCTCTAAGGTGGCCAGGTTATCTCCTTAAGCCCTGTCACACTCGCAAATGCTAGCAGGGATGTTGCTACTCTTAGCTGTCATAGCTTTTTGCAAGACCTGAGCACTGGGGATCCTGTGAATAAGGAAATTAAGCATTTCCCCTAGAGAGGGTGCAATTTCCTTACTGCCTACGTATCGTGCATGCTTTGGAGAGGTAGCCAAGCACTTTTCAAGTTCAACTGCTTGAGCATCGCTCATGGTGCACTGACTACTGATGCAACAACCGTGTCTGGGGCTGTGGGTGTAGATCTGTGCACCAGCAACCTGTGGGGGACAAAAAAAACCCTGGTGGGAGTTGAGTACAGCTGAGAGCAGTGTGACGCCACCAGCCCAGCAAACGTTTGCTTTGAGGTTCTCATCCCCGAGCACTGACTCTAGGAATTAGTAAGAGTACGATTACTTGGGCTGTTCTTGATATGAATCTCACCAGAGACAAAAGCGAACATCTAAATATATATGTTATATAAATAATAATAATAAAAAAAGCCCTATGACGCACAAAGCATGTAATCAATGGAGCAGAGTACTTTCCCTTGAAACAGTGATGTTCCCATGCATGGCAGATAGAGTAGTTGCATTGGTCAAGGTCAGGTTGGATGGGGCTCTGAGAAACCTGATCGAGATATCGAGGTGGTGGAGCGAGTGCAGAGGAGGGCAACGAAGCTGGTGAGGGGGCTGGAAAACAAATTGTATGAGGAGCGGCTGAGGGAGTTGGGGCTGTTTAGTATGAGGAAGAGGAGGCTGAGGGGAGACCTCATCACTCTCCACAACTACTTGAAAGGACACTGTAGAGACGTTGGTGCTGGTCTCTTCTCACAGGTAATTAGTGACAGAATGAGAGGGAATGGCTTCAAGCTCCAACAGGGTAGGTTTAGATTGAACATTAGGAAAGAATTTTTCACCGAAAGAGTGGTCGGGCATTGGAACAGGCTGCCCAGGGAGGGGGTTGAGTCACCATCCCTGGCTGTGTTTAAGGGCCGTTTAGATGCAGTGCTAAGGGACATGGTGTAGGGGAGGACTTTGTAGAGTAGGGTAGATGGTTGGACTCGATGATCCCAAGGGTCTCTTCCAACCTAGACGATTCTATGATTCTATGTCCCTGTTCATGGTAGGGAGGCTGGACTAGATGATCCTTCGTATTCCCTTCCAACCCAAACCCATTCTTTGATTCTATGATTGGAGCCAGTCTAATCCTTTGGAAGTCCATGTTTGGTGGAAAGAGGACCTTTCTCCTGGGTGAAGGCTGCAACCAGCTCAGCATCCCTGCAAGTGCTTGTTTGAGATGCATAGAAAAGGGGAGGGTAATATCTACCTTTTCCAGCATGCACAGAAGCACTAGCTCCCTGCCTGGGACTGGTTTGCTGGCTCCATAGGATGCTCAAGATAAACCGATTTAGCTTGGCTGGGTTTCAACTTCGCAGAGGTCTGTGAATCAATTTTAAGGTTGCGCTTGCAGAGGTTATGGTTCTTTACATTTCAATCATTCACAAAAATCTAATCAACTGGGCTCCAAATAATCTGCTACTGCTTTTGTCCTTGTATGGCTTTTCTTACCGATAGCTCCAAATACATTTGCTTTTAGTGGTGTGGGAGAAAACTGCACAAGGAAATAAAACTTGCAAAGTAATTAAACTTCTCAGTCTTGTTGAGTAACAAGCCGGAGATGTTGGCAGGACTGGGAATAGATCTGATTATCATTCCTCCTCTCAGTAGCCAGAGGATATGGTTAATTATTAAATTGCTTGTTAATGTATTGAAATATTGCTTGGCATATTTAATTTATCTCTTTTTTTTTTTTTTTTCTTTCCCTTTCTCTCCCCCTTTTTTCTTTTCTCCTCTTGCTGAAGGGCGCTCCCAGGACCTGATGGATTTCTGATACCTCGCTCCTGAGGGGCTGGAAGGAGCATGGTTAAACACCAACCGCTGCAGTACTACGAGCCACAGCTATGTTTGTCCTGTCTGACGGGGATCTACGGCTGCCGCTGGAAACGGTACCAGCGGTCACATGATGACACCACCAAGGTGAGTAGTTGACCGCGTCACCTCTTCCCGATGACATCGGATTGCGGATGGGTCTTGGTTGAAAGTGCTGGATATTTGATTGTTGTTGTTGTTGTTGGCTTGGATAGACCATGGAAACCACTGAACCCATGGCTTGGAGGTCTGTGAGAAGTTCTCACCACATGCATGGTTGATGCAGCAGATGGGCATGGTTAGCTGGTGGTGGTGCTCAAAGGAGTTGAGTGTTTGGCCAAATCCAACCGTATTTTCCTTTTGGTACCAGGGAGGCTTCTGTTTTGCTCCTCGTTCTGTGTCTTGTTGGTTTGCTTGTGTGTGTGTGGCTGAATATGCAGGAACAGTATTTCTGTGTAGTCTCTAGCTTCTGTGTGTGCAAAAATAAGTTTGTAGGTAGGGAAAAGCGGTAGGAGGTGAGAACTCGCTGGGGATAAATGGGGGAGCTATTAGAGGTGACTTCCTTCCCCTGGATAAATGCAGTTTTTAATGGCTCTGGCAGAAGGAATCCAGGCAGTGAGGCTGGACTTGATGTGTTTATAGGAAGAAAAGTGAAAAAACTGCTGTCAAAGCTGCCCTACTGCATCTTTTGGGTAATGGTTGTTGTCTATTACTGTTCTTCTGTGCTTTCAAGTTGTCTAGTTTGGGTTTTTTTTTTTTTTTCCAGTGTGCTTACTACTTAGAGAAATAAAAAAAAAAAACACAAAGCAAAACTTAAATCTCATTTTTCCTGGCAATGACCCCAGAAGATGCTTTCACTGCTTTTTGAGGGCTTAGTTTTGCTCCGGTGACTGTTAGCTGTTCTGTTTTTGTTTTTTAAGCCTATAACCAGGGATGTTCCTGGCTGTGGAGTGCTGCTTCTCTGGAAAAAAAGAGGCTGTTAAGGAGAAAACACTTCTGGGCGGCAGATCTCCTGCCAAAAAATGCTCTTGGTTCTGAATTGGATTGATTGTTGGTGGTGCAGCTTGGCCAGGAGCTCCCATGGGAATTGAAAAGTCATGGCTTGCGTTTGTGCAGCGTAAAACAAATTTCCTTTTGCAAAGTAGAAATGTTTGTGCTGTTTTTCTTCCTCTCTCACTCTGGCCAGCTTAGTCTGAGTGACCGCTTCTGAGCCAGCAGAAGTTTCCTTTGAGCAAATACCCGGGCACATCCATAGTGGAGGGTGTATTTGGGTTTTTAAGACTTTGTCAGGAAAACAGTGGGACGTAATGTCTTGGCATGTGTGCGTGTACTAACTTAAAAACTCAAAATGTCTTATTCCTCATGTCTTATTAACCAGAATGTTATGCTGCTTCCCTAAAAATCCATAGAGAAATTGCCATTGACTTAATGTTATTTTTTTCTCAGTGAAACCTGGCTGCGCTTGAACTGATTTATTTTACCAAAAAATATCAGTGGCAGCCTTCCAATTCTACTTACAATTTCAACTGTTTTTCTTGTGCTACAAAGGAATTTATTACGTTTAAAATATCTGAACTAGGCTTAAAAATATGTTCAGTCTGAGAGTCGGTCTTATTAAGGTCTGCAAGAGGCCTCAAATTCCACTTTGTTGAATAGAGAAGTGGAGATAACTTTGGTCTTGCAGGAGAAAAAGAAGGAAGACTAAAATTAGCTACAGGCTATGCAAAACCAAGGTATGAAGAATCTGTTCCCATCTTGCTGTTGAAGTGCCTCGCAGGTGTTAGTGCTGGAATGAGCGATTGTAGCACAGTGTTTGGAGGGGAAAATGCAAATAGAGGCTAATTCTTCTCTGTTGGGCAGGTTTATTTACATGTTCTTGAATATGGCAGAGAATGGGTGGGAACTCTAGGATATGAGTAAGAGATGAGTGAGAAACCTCTTTAGATGCCAAATAGTCCTTGGCTGATTGAGCATTGATCTCTGGCCTCCATGAGAGGGCTTTCAGGGTGGGTGGGGAAAATTGCCAAGATCCCAAGGTAGTGGATGGAGATGGGAAGTTTTACATATGCTAATTGTCTCCAGCTGATGTATTCCAGAATGGTTTGGGTTGGAAGGGACCTTAAATAACATCTAGTTCCAATGCCCCTTCTGTGGGCAGGGACACCTCCCACTAGACCAGGTTGCTCCAAGCCCCCTCCAACCTGGCCTTGAACCCCTCCAGGGATGGGGCAGCCACAGCTTCACTGGGCAACCTGGGCCAGGGTCTCACCACCCTCACACCAAAGAAGTTCTACATAATACCTAGTCTAAATCTTCCCTCTTTTAAAGTCACTACCTCTCATCCTATCCTGATCAAAGGTCCCTCCCCAGCTTTCCTGGAACCCCCACCTTGAGGGACTGGAAGGGGCTTCAAGGTCTCCCCAGAGCCTTCTCTTCTCCAGCCTGAACACCCCACCTCTCTCAGCCTGTCCTCCCAGCAGAGGGGCTCCAGCCCTCCCAGCATCTCCATGGCCTCCTCTGGCCCCCCTCCAACAGGTCCATGTCTCTCCTGTGCTGAGGCCCCAGAGCTGGAGGCAGCACTGGGTGGGGGGGTGTCTCCCCAGAGCGGAGCAGAGGGGCAGAATCCCCCCCTGGCCCTGCTGGCCACGCTGCTGGGGATGCAGCCCAGGATGGGGGGGTTTTCTGGGCTGCCAGGGAATGTTGCCAGCTCATGTTGATCTTCTCATCCACCAACATCCCCAAATCCTCCTCCTCAGGGCTGCTCTCCAGCCATTCTCCACCCATCCTGGCTTTGTCCTTGGGATTGCCTCCACTGAGGTGCAGGACCCTGCGCTTGGCCTTGTTGAACCTCATGAGGTTCGCATAGGCCGACCTCTTAAGCTTGTCCAGGTCCCTCTGGATGGCATCCTGTCCCTCCAGCATGTCAACTGCTCCACAATGTTTAGATGTATCTCTAAGGGATTTGCCAAGAAAGTACCATACCATAACTTGGGTGCCTCTTTGCTTTACCCAAAGGTGATGTCATTTTGATGACAATACTGATTTATTGCCCTGTATCTGACCCCATGGTAACATCTCAGCCACTGCAAGCCCAGAATAGAGCCAATTCTAGTATAACCTGTGGTTTTCTGAACATGGTTTCTATTAAAAGTATGGTATATTTGAGAGGTTTTACGTCTTGCAAAAATCTAGAGCTACTTGGGAAGGAAGGAATAGGGTATGTCCATGTTATGATTGTACTCTGTGATTATCAGAAAGCAAGGCATGTATTCAAAGAGCAACTTTTTTTTTTTTTAGAGTAGACTACAGCATAGTTATCTCCTTTCTTTTTAAAAGATCAAACTTTCCGGAATAAAAGGCCTTCACATAAATTTGGGTTACGACCCAACCTCGTGTCCTTGAAATCTTCTGCTGATGACTGTGAGTGTTTGTTTTCTGAATTGTGCTGCAGCTCAACAGCCAGAGTTTTAATGATTCCTCTCCTTTTCCCCCAGATGTATGCAGAGCAGGCTTTCTACTACACATTAAAAATTTACATGAAAATGAGAATTTTAATTGTAAGCTTGAGTTCAAGGTTTTTTGGGAGACTGCTTGCTAGAATTGTAATTATCTCTTGCTTTCCTCTGACCTTTTGAGAATTGAGGAGGGGGGCTGAAGGTACCCAACCTGCGTGCTTGGTCTCCTGTTTAAATTTTGAGCAGCTGCAAAATTCCTTTTTCTGTTGTGCACCTTCAGCTTCTATGGCAGGATTCCCTTTCATGTTTTTTTAAACTTTTAATTTTTTTTTTTAAATGAAAGGCATATAGAAGAGGTAGAAATGGTCTTGCTGAGATCTAGACTATTATAATCTCTGTAGCTGGTGTGAGGAAGCAATTTCTGATCAAACTACAGCTTGTTCATCAGGTATTCAACCAAAGAAGTTCTTAGGAAATCAGTGCGTCATCTTCAAAGGGCTCCATCACCCTGAACACTGAAACTGTGGGTAAATAAGCTTTGGCTTGTAGTTGCTCTATGTGCTTTTAAAGGTCTTTTAAAGTTCAGATGGCAGCTTCCAAGGTAGCTCCCAGATTCCACAACCCTGTTGATGGATTGCCAGCAATTAAACAGAGGGAGAGCGGCACTACTAATTGCAGTGTGTAAACACAGGGCTCTGTGCACAGCTTGTGTGCTTCACCCGAAATGAACCGCTGCTGGGTATTACAACACCAGAATAGCTCTTGCTCCAGGGGCAGAGTCCAGACTGCAGCATCTCTTAAAATCCACCCAGGGATGTTGCAGGATCGGTATCCGCGTGGGAGATGTTGATGGGTTGCATCGTATAAACATGAAGTTAAATCTATCAACTGGCTTTGTTCAGGATTGCATTTTTTTTTTATTGCTTCCAAACCCATGTTGTCTGTACACAGCAAATATCACACCTGGGAAATCATCCTGGGTGGGAGCAGGGGAAGAGATATTCTGCAGAAGAAAATTGCAGTGATATATTTTTTTTTAATCTATGTAACAAACAAAAGAAGTCACTTTTATTGGCTTTTTTTTTTGTTAGGCTTTTTTTTTTACCAGTTACTCTGTGCTGAAAAATTTTGGGATCTTTATTTTCTTTATCTTATTTAGTTCCCTGTCAAATAGGATAAAATACTATCTCCAGTTGCAAATGGCTTTGGCTTCTCGGCTTAGAAGCAGATGTAGTTGATACTGTACTTCCCAACCATGAACCCTTCTGACATACGAGTTGAGGCAGACAAATTGTAACAGAGAACTCTTCTTGTCTTCCCCGTTTCCTTTGGAAGCTTCCCATGTTTACAAAACCATCTTTTGCTTCAGAAAATTGCCAAGAAGAGGCAAGGATAGGTGCCTGGTTTGGTTACCTACAGTAGGAAGGGCCATCATCACCTGGGAATGAACCCAAAATTGGCAGGTTTAGATCCCGGGTGTCTGAAATGGCAAGATCCCTGTGATTTTCTTCTCTTCAGTGTAATCTACATTTACATGGAGAGCTCTTCATGAGCTTTCTGTGAATGGTGCACTTCATGGTACTTGTACAACCTCTTTTCTTCCTCCCATTTCTCTTGTAAACTCCCCCGAGATGATGTGGGTGAAAGGAGCAG